GCGCCAAAAGATTATGAAAAACTTCAAAAAATTAAAACTCAGGAAAAAAATTTAAAAACAGCTTTTTGCTATAAAGTCAGGCTGTGATTTGAAGCAGCTCCCCGTCTGGAGCGGATTAGAAGCCCCGGGAGCTGCTCGGAGAGGTGCGCGCGGACGCGCTAGGCTCCGTGTCTCTTCAAAATGGTGTTCGGCGAGAAAAGGTTAATGACTCATAAGCAGAGGAACTTTGGGGCCGGCCTCGCCACCCGATTCCTGCGGAAAGCCGCCCGGCTCGCGTCAAGTTGTGAGCAAAGTCGCGGTGGAAATAAAAGCAGCCCGCGCTGATCAAACACGTCGGGCCGGCAGCAGCGGGGGGCAGCGGCCGCTGCACAATGCCATTATTTATTTCGGGGTTATTACAGCCAAAAGGGGGGAAAAAAGGAAAAAGAAAGAGAAAAGAAAGTTTGGGAGATGCATCTGTGCGAGCGTGTTTGCAGATGTGCAGGCGGCTTCGCGGCCCCGCAGCGAAACGCGGTGATTTTCAGTCACTTGTGGCAAAGGCGACGGCCGCTGCCTTTCCTCAAGTTGGCTTTGGGGAAACTTTGGGAGCGCTTGGTAAAGACGTTCGCTTTCGCCCCTCGGCCTGAAAACCCTCGACGGCCCAAAGCTGCTCCAGGGAGTGCAAAAAATAAGTTTTTTACCATCAGATTCCGCAAAGTTTGCAGATTTGGCTGTGCAGAGAAGAGCCCGTTCCAACCCCGCGCTGAAAATTCGGGCCGCAGGATTCTTTGGAGCCAGACTCAAAACCTCACGTGCTCTTCTCAAATTTGTCAAAAAACTAGGCCAGAAGAACCCTGAAATCACGACCCCAGCTCGGAGAAATAATGTAACACTTAAAGGAGCGCTTTGGAAACAATATATTTGTGCTGATCTTCCCGAGATCACGCCAGCTCCGGCGACCCTTGTTAATATTTTTACAATCCGTTTGCTTGTAAATCTGCTGGGAGCGGCGCGGTCGTGCCCGGCTCAGCCCCGCTGCCCGGCGCACACGGCGCGGGAAGGATGTTTATATTTTCCTGACAGGCGATACGGAGCGCTCATGCCACCGCAGCTACAGCGCCGCGATAAATACGCTCGGGACCGTGATTGCTGTTTGTTTTGCTTTTCCCAGCCACTTTTCTAAAGCTTTCCCCTTTAAATGCAAGCCCAAACTTTAAAATAAAAACCATTAAAAAAATAAAAAAAAAAAATAGAAAGGGAAAAAAAAAAGAAAAAACAAAACATCTTTGTCTCCAAAGTTGCAGCAGCGAAAGTGGCCGTAAATTCTGAAATGGGGGAATGAAGCGCGTCGCGCTGCGGGCGCGGGATGCCCGGAGCCCTCGGTGCTCCCGGGACCTTCCCGAACGGGCCCTCGCTGGATCCGCGTGTTTTAAGCAGGGAGCTCCGCGGCTCCTTCGGGGCAGACCCGAAACCGGGTGTTTTGGGGGTTGTTTTTTTTTTTTTTTTTTTTGGG